CCTGAAGACTGAAGACTGAGATGGGACCGGAAATTTCAATGATGATTTTGACAGACTAGTTCCAGCATCTTTTAATACGGTCACACAAGCAGATCGAAGCTCAAATAAAACTGACCAACTGCATGGCGCAGCGATTCAACCTGCAGACAACAGAACCAGTTTCGCGTAAATTCTAGTCCAGCTCTACTGAAATGCTTGCAAAGTCAATCACTGAATTCAACTATGAACCTCAATTGCTGGGAAGACTTGTTCCGAACGGACTTCAGTTGTCAAGACGATGCATGGAAGTGCGCCTGCTGGTCCGAAAACTTGGAACCACTGAACACTCCAGATTCTTTGATCATATTCTTCCCAAACCGAAGGATTTCAACTTTGACGAAGCAACGGCACAGGTATCAGAAATCTTTGTTTAATTAGCTTCCTTGCTTTCAGTAGCCGATATGACTGTCTGAAAATTGGCAAACGGGCTGGAGAGGATTACGGCATGCTTGCTGACCGAGTCACTCTTAAGTGCGAATGGTTCAAACTTTGCTACCTGGCCTGATGACCAATCCAAGTGCCTCATTTTCTTCAGAGTAATGCAAAATCCGAAAGATACCAACATTCTTACTCGTTTACTATCCAAACTCGATCAGGACCCGGAGGTGAACTCGAAGTTTCTCATGGTCGAGGGAAAACGTCTTCCCTCCCGGAAGCATGTGATTGCGTTGGTCGAACAGAAGACTTCCATAGCTCACGTTTAATCAATGCAGTGCATAAAGAATTAGCCATCTGTGACAAACTTTAAATCCCCAAAGCGCCCCATAAGTAAGCCAACCTCTGTCTGTTAACCGTGTGGCGAATTACATTTTGTACATTTGTGTCCATTCAAACAGCACATTTTTCAAAAGTGTGACAAACTGAGTCACAATAAAGAAGAAGGCTTCTGTTCAACGATACATACCCAAACCAGTTAGAAGAGGGCGGTTCACAAAAATTCCCACAGACCATTCAGAGAAGCACTTCCAATCGTGGAAAGTTTTCAAACAGATGGCCAGTCGAAGAGAAAATTCTTCAATGTTTGTTAATGGTAAACCAGCTAAACGTCAGTTGTATACAGCCTCAGACATCATTTCAATCAGCAAAAACACGTGGAACTGCATCGGGAGACCAGCAATTAGTCCATCTTCCAAAAGAGCGAAAAAGGCATCAGGAGGTGAGCTGAGATTGACTGGTGAAATCAAGTGTCACATTTCTTTCCGNGTCACCACACAGGGGACTTACTATCTGACCGATTGATTCAACCTGATACTCCTTGGTTTTCATTAGATCGAAAAGTCCAGATTGTTTGATGTCCCCGTGAAAGGAGTGTGCCATCAATTCCGTAAGCAGTACGCTATCAACCACATCCACTCCTCGCTTCTTCATCCACAAGCGAACGGCCAAGTGGAGAGAGTTGTGGATACGCTCAAGTGGGCACGCAAGAGATCAAAAGAGGATTGGGTAACCTCGAAATACGGACGTACACCTCTAAAGGGATGTGTGCCAGTGACAATCGGCCCTTCCCCTTCTGCTTTTTTCAATGCACGTTTGACTGGCACTAGCAATAAAGATTGCACTGTTTGCAACCCTCTTTTAACTAGGATCATTGGGATACGCTTTGTGGGACCATGTTCGGTGATAGCTTTGGCGAGGCACGAGAGTTTGATAGCACATGGAAATAAATATCGCAGGTCAAAACCCATAGTTGATTCATACCTAACTTTGCAATCGCTGTCAATATGGTCTAAATGTTAGCCAATTCGATTAAATGTATCTGGGATCAACCGATCTTCGTGGATTCTGACGTCCTGGTTGGTTATATGCAAGCCGTTTCGCTTTGCAGATGTAAAGCTGTCTGTCTCACCACACCAAATTAAGTTCTTCACTGTCAACTTGTTTGAGAAAATACGATTCATGGGTGGAACGAATTACTCTAAAAACTTGTGTGTTGTACTCATTGTCATGGATAACCACAAGTATAACCAAAACGCAAGATTTGGTGGCAACATTTCAACCTTCATTGGAAAGCTTTGTCATAGTTGATTACGTCATTTGTCCTCAATTTCAGTCAATCAACCACTATTTCCTTTTACCGATCCAATTAAAATTTACCATTTCCATTGATTCATACTCCTTTCATATCACACGGAAAACATAATCTCCTACTTCATATTGATACAATTTTATTCGTTCCAGGTTAATGTGATAAGAACATGCGGTTTTCTGTCGATGGAACTTTCTTTAACTAAGTAGATGGTTTAGATCATTTTTATTATGCTTTATTTCTCTTTCTTCTGAATACCCAAATTCATCTGAATCCCAGAATTCTGCATTTGTCTATCATCGATGTCCATTCTGGTTACCAACTTGCGTTGAGAAGTGGGACAAGCGATCAGGGAATTTGACTGAAATCGGCATGATATCTTGATTAAGACGAGATTGCTGACTGATCTGCCGGAACAACTCTTCCTGAAACTTGAACTGATTCAGCGTGTTTGACTTTTTCTACCTGACATTGCACAAATTGCTCTTAGGCGGAAAGCACTTGTGACCAGCATCCCATATGACAAGTGACCTGTCTGAATAACCTGGTATTGCGACGCACAATCTTTTAGACGACCTGCAATCCCGTTGCTCCAAATAATGTCCGCTGGGTGAAACTGTGCGGGTTAAATGAAGGCAGTGTGTGATGACTTAGGTTCGTCATGAGGGAATTCAATCCACACAAATTATACGCTAATACATATAACAAGATTTTTCAGTTTCAGATGCTGAGGCATAGGAATAAACCAAGTCTTCATACTGAACGGGATTAGACGCTGCCAGGGTGAAGGTGAGAGAAATTCAATAGTGATGTTCACAAAAAGAAGAATCTAGAAAGAAAATCGACGTTTTCGGTCCAATCAAGTGAATTTAACCAGACCAAAGTGCGCTAATTCCGCAAAGTTCATCACATGCGAACTGGCTGACATCAATTAGCAGAATAAGGAAGACATCAGTATCATCATACTGTGCCTTAGTGATAATAGTGCTGAGTACCATGTCTTCCTTTTCTCAGTCAATAGCATCACGTGATCTCACTGGTTTTTCAGGTTTGATTCCTTCATTGCTTTAGAGTATATCGTGATGTACTATTCTAGGTATCCTTTAGACCACACACACACATACACATTCCCATTTCTACACACGTATACACAAACGGGTTGTTTAATAAGGAGATATTAATTTAGCATCATTTTGCTTGCACATGACGAATTGCTTTTGAACCTCATTCCATGGAACTACATGTGTTGTGAGATACTACTCACTTGTAAGTAGTGATTGATTTTAACAATCAAAAATGAACAAGATCACCGAGGGCAATTTGCTGAATCTCAAAGAATAACTATTGATTGCTACATTCATTACCCGTCGTGTGAATAGGAACGGCGATGGTATGTTTCTGATTAGGTTTTTGGGTTATATATGCAAAATTACTGGCCTCCCATCTGTAATCCTCACTAAACGAACATCTCCTACCGGCACCCCCTTTTAGAATTATAAAAACTGGTGCCGTCGCCAGGATGAAGGTTCCGTGGCCTTATGCATTCGAGGATTGAGATGTGCGGACGTTCCTGGAGGAGTTCGAGGACGTCGCAGAGCTGTCAGGAATACGGTAAGACCGGGGTAAGTTGACGGCCCTCCAAGCGCGAGCGATGTTGGATGCGGCGCGAAGAGTCCCGGAGAAGATGGAGTGGGCCGCCGCGAAGGATGCCCTGATTGCGGGTTTTGAGACCCCATCCGACCGCCAGAGGGCGTTGCGGAGCTTCCAGACGGCGCAGACCGAAGTTGGCGTGAACTCTTTGTCGCATGCCGTGGCCCTGCGTGCCCTGTTGGATCGAGTGCTGCCATCTTTGAACGACGCTGCTCGCTCGGAATTATTGCTGGAGCGTTCCGTGGAGAGTCTGTCGGACAATCTGCGGGAAAAGGCGCGAATGATCCAAGCGGGACGCGCCATGGATGAATTCACCCTGGCTGAAGCCGTGAGACAGTTAACCAATCATGAAGTTTCGGCTCTACAAACTCACGAAGTCCCGAAAAGTCAGCCGCTAGAGGATGTTGCGGAAGCCCTGAAAAAGCTGACAGAAGAAGTGGCAGCACTAAAGTCAAACTGAGGATTAAAAAAAAACAGGAATGTGTGCCTTCAATGCGGCAAACTGGGCCACTGACTGAGGCATTGCCTAGAAGGATGCAAAAAACGTTCTTTCGAGAAACGGTTCACGCAGAACACGCCCGTCTCCTCAAACAAGGCTGTCATAGGATCAGTAGATCGCGGTGCACTCCAATTGGAGATAGAGGGTCTAAAAGAGTTATGCTTAGTCGACACTGGGGCGGCAATATCGTTAGCAAGACCAAAAGCAAATGAACCCCTAGAAACATGGAATACAGCAGTGAAAACAGCCGGGAGTCACCAATTGAAGGTAGACGGAGTAACCAAACGGACAGTCCGTCTGTGAAACAAGATAATCAAGCATCCATTTGTCATAACAAAAGAAACGAACCAGAATATAGCGGAAGCAGATATATTGCACAATTTAAGGGTCGTGTTTGAGCTGAACAAAGAACGGCTTGTTACCAAATTCGGCACGATTTCGCAGTTACGCTCGAAAAGAAAGAGGTTGTCATCCGTGAGTACAGAAGTAACTCACACTAATGTGTCACCGTCGTTCCAGCCAGTAAGGCAATGATACTTCCACCTGTTTATAGGCGATGATGGCCCGTACGGTCTCTGTAATTGGGTCGAACACGAAACCCCAAGGAAGACAGGAAAATTTCGAGCCTATGTTTCACGCCGAATTCCACTACACTTGGAGGACGAAGTCAAGCGGCAGGTTGAACAAATGTTGAAGGAGGTTATCATTGAAGGAACTCGAAGTCCGTATAACTCGCCCGTACTGCTGGTTAAAAATCCAAACAGCAAATTTGGGTTCTGTGTGGATTTCCGCCAAGTAAACACTGTGACTATAAACAAACCAGCTCCAGTCCCGACGGTGACAGAAATTTTTGACCAACTGCAAAGCGCAAAAGTGTTCTCAGCTGTGGTTCTACGATCAGGATATTGGCAAGTACCAATAAAGAAAGCTGATCGAGAGAAAACAGCGTTCACAGTCGGCAATAAACAATATCAGTTCAAACGAATGCCAATTAAGATTATCAGGAGCACCATTTACATTACGCCTCCTCATGCCGAAGTTACTCCACTTTGAAACTGTCCTGAAACGAATTCAAGAATCTGGCCTTCGGATTAATGGATCGAAGTCCAAAATTGGGAAGCCGACAGTGACTTTACTTGCGCACAAAGTTGGAAATGGAGAAGTGAGGCCACTCCCTGAGAAGATCCTCAAGTAAAAGGAGTTTGTGCGCCCAACATCGAAAAGAACAAAAAACAGTTTCTAGGCTGCGCCACATACTATAGCCGATTCGTCAAAAAATTACGAATATCGCCGAACCGTTATGCACCTTGCTCAAAAAATAATATCGCTTCAGATGGACACCAGATGCCCAGAAAGCCTTCGATGAACTCCAAAAGATCCTGACTGAACAACATCTGACTCTGAAGTTACCGGTGAGTTGGTGATTGCTTCACAGTGGTAACGGATGCCAGTGATGTTGGAGTGGGAGCTGTACTTAAACAAGCAAGTGGAGTGGTTGAATACGCAAGCAGGGTCCTGATTCCAACGGAAAGGAAATATTCAACCACGGAAAAAGTATGTCTTGCAATCGTTTGAGCCGTAGATAAGCGATGACCATACCTCCTGGGTCAAAGGTTCCATATAGAAACGGACTACAAGCCGCTAGAGTGGATTAAAACTGCCAAGGACCCGAGAGGAAAACTAGCCCGATGGGTGCTTCGGCTGCAGGAGTACGACTTCACGATCAATCATGTTTCAGGTGCCGAAAACTGTATGGCGGACATTTTGTCTCGTCAGGATGAAGCAGATTCCTTCAGTGTCAGAATGGTGACAGCGGTACAAGACCCGCACGAATTGGTGAAGGAACAGCGCAAGGACCAAGAACTTCAAAAGGTGATCGAAGCAATCTCACAAGGCCAGTAATACCGAAACGTGCAACACACATGAAGTCATGGAAATCCGTATGGAAGCAGCTTTATTTGAATGCCGCTGGCATCCTAGTGAAATGACAGCAAGGAAGAAGGTGCCCTGTGGTTGTCATTCCGAACCAGCTGCGCCAAATCTTTATCAAACAAAGTCATGAACTGGCACACACTGGATGCGCTCGAACCTACGATATGCATCGCCAGCGGGCATATTGGCCAAATATGCAGACTAATATGACAAACCAGGTGCTGTTGTGTGAAAAATGCCAACTTTTCGAGTCAGACTACCGCCCATTACAATGTCCAATTCAGTCAATTCCGGTATCCGAGATCGGTGAGTTATGGTCCGTCGANCCTCATTGGTCCATTTCCGATGTCCCCTAGAGGATACCAATACATCATTGCAATAACAGAGTACTTCATGCGCTGGATTGAAGCCGTAGGAGTCGCGGATCAAAAAGCCGCTACGATAAGCAGAGTTGTGATGTAGCACATCGTGGCGAATCATGGTGTACCGCAAGCCATCCTTACGGATCAAGGCCCGTGCTTTCAGAGTGATGAATTTCGCAAGTGCTTACGGAAATTAAGCATCAAAATGATACGCACAACGCCTTATCACTCACAAACCAACGGCCCCACAGAACGAGATAACAGAACAATCAAATAATGCCTGGCAGTAAAAGGGGGGATTGGGAAAAGGTCCTAACTTTCCTACTTTTGACGTACCGCTCGACCACGCAGACTAGTACCAAACATACACCATTTCAACTGATGTATGAACGAATTCCGAAGCTGCCAGTGGATCTCAACGTTGGCATTTGGCCCCGAAACGATTTATCTCTGCAACAATTCCAACAGACAAGACGTGAAGCCCAGAATAACCTGAAGAAGGCGCAGGAGGATACAATGCACAAGCCTAGGATACAAACTAGACGGACGGCCAGTGTGCTTCCGGCTGGATCTAAAGTAAAGTATAAGCAGCATGTTGGGGAGTTGCCAGCGGCCCTGGCTCGAGGAGAGATCCATACGGCATAGCTGAACAACGCCATCCCGCGTACAAAATTCAACGGATGAAAGAAGTCTGTCGTGCACATCGGAACGATCTCGCAACATGGCACGAGGAAATGTACAGCACACGCCGTAAACCAACAAAAGAAATTCCAGAATCCAATTACACAAGGTCAGGCATGACGCCGCTCAACGTCGAAAATGGGAAACAAACGCGATAAAAATCCAAGAAACAGTCGTCTACTGGTCAAAGCATGCAGAGATCTTTTTCGCCGGGGGAAGATTGTTGTGAGATACTACACACTTGTGGGTAGAAAGTAACTTTCGATGATCAAAAATACAACACGCCCATCAAGGGCCAAGTAACATGTCTGGAAGAATATCTACTGACTGCTCCATACATTACCCTGTGTGTCGGAAAGAATTGCGATGGCACGTTTCTAATTCGTTTTTTGTGTTATGCATGCAGAATTACTGACCACCCATCTGTAATCCTCAATAAACGAATATCCTCTACCACCACCTCCTTTTGGGATTATATATTTGTAGTTCTCTAAAAAGCTCTATTCCACCATCTTTAAATAGAGCAGAGGGAAGGCCATCGGAGCCCGGCGCTTTGTGACGTCCCAAGACTTGGATCTCCTTATAGATTTCCGCCTCAGAGGGTGGGTCTGTTGAGACAGACCACAGGAAGTGTGTCGGAATAGCTGTGTGAAAAGCTGACATTGGTGGCCAGCTAAACTGTGCTTTGAAGTGCTCCGCCCAGCGTTCAAAACTTCGTTGTTCATTGTGAATGGGCGACTCGTCAGCTTCGCAGATCGCTTCGCTCACACCCAAGGCTTGCCTACCGGTGACCCGGATGAGATGGAACAGCTTATGGGAATTTCCCATGACGGAAGATCGTTTCATCCCTGACGCGCGTTGAGTCCACCACATCTCGCGGTCTCTGCGTAAGCTTGCTTTGAGGTTACGACTCGTTACGAGTCTTATTTCATTACGCTCGCTGCCGGTCGGAAGGCGCAGAAATCCAGGGTGTCGCGGCACGGCATGTCAGACTACAACTAACTAAGCCAGCAGAATGCAGAGCATGCTTGATAAGCGACCAGTGGTGGTTAACGTCACCGGGTGGGGTTGATTCTAGCTTTTCAGTTAGCGCGTTCTGAAAGACATTTAGGAGTGCTAGTTGAGATAATTTATCACAGTCTAAACGTCGTTGTGTCGTACGTTTGGAACGCCCACCGAAGCACATGGACAGTTTGGTGCAAACTAACGTGTGGTTGGATTCGAGGGGAGTGATTCAGTTCGATCGGCAGTCTTGTATTCAACCCCACCATTTGTGGCTTATAGCGATGTGGTCTACCTGTGTCCGTCTCTGACTCGAGGAGAGCGGACGCTAAGTGGCGTACCGGCAGTTTGAGCGCCTGAAGTTCGTAATGGCGAGGAATAGGCGGTGGTCGGAACAGAGAGCCAACAGCCGTTCCCCGTTTTCCGAGCGACAGGAATCTAGTCCGAAAGGACCTCCGAGGTGCGCCTCGCTCGAAGTCAGCCGACCTACGATGGCATTCATATTTGCTGAAATCACGGTATCAGCCCGACTCGCTTTACGCAAGAGGTCGTGTAGGTTATGATAAAATTCATCTTTGACTGCATCTTGGCTGCAGTCCGTTGGGGTGTACGCCGACACGATAAACAAGTTTCGGCTATCGTGGCGACGGCTGCATACTTTGCACAAACCTCTGAGTCTCATTACGCACAACCTACTGTCGACTGCGATCCAATCGAGGAGTTCGGCTTCAGCTTTCTCACTGAGAGCCACGCCGACGCCAGCAAGACCGGAAGCCGCAGCCTCAGGGNCTCAGGGTCCCCAGAGAGGCGTAAGTGAAACTTCACTGATGGGTTTGATGGGGACGTCAATCAGATAACGGAGTTAGAGTCTTGAATGTCAGTTTTTTGGATGTAACACACATCGATGGCTAGGGTTTCGAGCGTACGAGCTAAACACGCCTGTTGTCCTATACGCACCGGATTACACACATTTGACGCGGTTAG